GCTCATCGTGAATAATTAAAATATCAGTGGTAGGGATTTTATAAAAATGGGCCATTGTTCGCACCGCGCGACCGCTCTGATTCATAAACGTAGCAGGAATAAGCAAGTGACAGCGAGGTCGGTTCGCATCTTGGGGTAAAACTCCGCAAAATCCGTGAAAACGATCGCTAAGCCTGAGGGGTACTTGGTAGCGGTTGGCAAGCTGTGCGACCCAATCCGCGCCCATATTATGGCGAGTGGCCTGATATTCAGGCCCTGGATTTCCAAGCCCTACTAAAAGCTGAATAGACACAACACACTCTATGCTCTATTTATCTGATTTGACTGGTGGTTTTTGAGGCGCGATAGCACCTTCTGCGGGCGTGGCAGATTCAGCATCAGTTTGAAAGCGCATTGGGTGAACCATCGCGATGGTTCGGTCATCCCCATGTGACAGAGGCACCAATTCTACGCCCTTAGACACCGTTAACTGAGACAAGCTAATCGACTCGTTTAGAGATAATTTAGATAAGTCCACTTCTAAAAATTCTGGCAAATTTGCAGGTAAACAGCTGACTTCTACATTATTTAATAGGTAAGACATGATGCCGCCTTCTTGTTTAACCCCAGGCGCAATACTTTCTCCAATAAACCGAAAAGGCACCGAAATTTTGATTTTTTCTGTTTCCACAATGCGATATAAATCAAAGCTCATAATCTGTGGTTTATAAGGATGTTGGGGCAAACTTTTTAATACGGCTTGATAAGTAATATCTCCCACGGTTATCTTTAAGATATGGGAATAAAGCGCAGGGTTTTCTATCGCTTGTAATAGTATTTTATGTTCCATTGATAATAAAATGGGGGATTGTTCTCGGCTCCCATATAATACACCTGGCACCTTGCCTGCTTTGCGAAGACGACGGCTTGCTGCTGTGCCTACTATTTTAGGGTCTCGAAGCTGCGCCTCAAAGTTAAAAGAAAACGTCATATGAAAATTACCTCTACCAATTGATCATTAAAATTCTTTCAATGTGCCGAATTATATCATTTCTTCTTGAAGCCTGTCTTCACGACAATGATTAGACCTTCTGCGAAAAAGGAAGTGATGGAATGCTACTGGGCTTGTTCATAATCCAAGAACATTGAACTGACTGATTCTTCTGTGTTAATACGACGAATCGTTTCAGCAAGTAAAATACTTAAATTGAGCACTCTGATTTTTTGACCTTTTTGTGCGGCGTCATTGAGTGGAATCGTGTTGGTGACGACAACTTCATCTAAACAGGAATTTTGAATGCTGGCAATCGCAGCGCCAGAGAGTACAGGGTGCGTGCAATAAGCAGACACAGATTTCGCTCCTTGCCGCTTCATGGCCTCTGCTGCAAGACACAGTGTGCTGGCTGTGTCTACCATGTCATCTACGATCAGACAATGTCGACCTTTTACTTCCGCTTCTTCAATCACATGCATAACTTCTGTTTTATTCGGTCCTGTTCGTCGTTTATCAATAATCGCCATATCTGTGTTATTTAAACGCTTGGCAATGGCGCGGGCTCGCACCACTCCTCCTACATCTGGAGACACTACCATGGGACGCTCTTCGATTAAAGAATAATGCTTATTACTATCTGAAAGCATCACAGGGGTTGCGTAGATATTATCAACGGGCATGTCAAAAAAACCTTGAATTTGATCGGCGTGCAGGTCTACTGTGAGTAAACGGCTAATGCCAGCCCCGGCCAACATATCGGCCACAATTTTCGCGGTAATAGGCACACGAGCAGAACGAATTCTTCTATCTTGTCGGGCATATCCAAAATAAGGAACGACTGCCGTGACACGCATCGCAGAAGCACGTCGCAACGCATCTGCAAGGATGACTAACTCCATTAAGTGATCATTTCCAGGGGCACAAGTAGGTTGAATAATAAAAACGTCGTGCCCTCGGACATTTTCTAAAATTTCAACCATAATCTCACCGTCACTAAAACGGCCAACGGTCGCTTTACCTAAAGGTTGATCTAAACCACTCGCAATACTCTCGGCCAATGGACGATTGGCATTGCCACTGAAAAGCATCATGTTGGACATGGGAAGACTCTTAATTTATAAAAGAGAAGCAGAGATTTGCATGATTTACTTTGGCTGGGGTACCAGGATTCGAACCTGGGAAATGCCGGGATCAAAACCCGGTGCCTTACCGCTTGGCTATACCCCAATGTTTTATTTTAAAGTGTTAAGGCTCTGTATTGTCATCGGAGTTGTACCCTGTGTCAACCCAAACATAACTTCTTGTCAGACAAGCCCCCTGCTCTATGATCAAAATTCCTTCTGCCTGATCCAAAGAGAGTTACAAAGCTCCTTTTTTAAATATTTTGTTTTGTGAAAACACTCTATTCCCTTGAAAAGAGAACCCCTAGCGAGGGAAAGCCATATAATGTAACTGTCTTTCTTTTGAATGAATTATTCCACGGATCAGTATGTTCATTTCCAGGGGGTGAAGGCGATAGTTGTTTTGAATTCGCCCCTACGTGATTGGTAATAACAGTACTTCCAGTTGGGACGCTTATAGTAAAACTATTATTCTCAGCTTTTCTGTTAGTTCCTTCTATATTCGACATGGCACATAAGGAATTTACTGCGCTATTCGTCAGTTCGAATTTATTGTTATTTGCAATGAACTTCTGTGTCTCATTTGAAATCTCCATACCACACACCATCCTGGAGACTGCTCCAGAAAGTGAAAGGGTATTATCACTGAAAGTAACTCTCTTGTTACTACCATTAGTAATCAAAAACCAAGAAGATACATTGCAATTCATTTGAGAATTTACAATGTGTATATCAGAACTATTAGAGATAGCTATGGATGAATAGGTGTTGTGAGTATTGATCCAAACTTCATTCACTAGAGCGCGAGAAGTCCTTGAAAAAGCTAACCCTGAAATACCAAGTCTCTCCGATTGTGTGCCTTGAATCTGAATATGACTGAGCACTACATCAGATATTGAATGCCCCCCATTCCTTCTATCGAAGAGAAGACGCCTTTTAATTGATGGAAACTTATTAACAACGGCAGGTTTTTTAAAATCAACACTGCGTCCTAAGATGGAAGCGCTCTTACCATCGAAAAATAAGGCATTTTTCCAATAAGGCTGGCGATCTTTAGCGCCGGTGTAGTCCACCTCAAAACTACCGCCTTCGGCGAGCAATAAAATAGAGTGCTGAGGCATATCATCGACGAGCTTCTGTGAAATTTTGCTGCATGGCTTTTCAAAAGTACATGTGTCGCCCCTGCCATTTTTTTTGAAGAAATAGAGATTCTCAATTTTTTCTTCAGCTGGCGGCTGTGTATTGGGTATTTGTGGATAATTATCGGGGTCAAGTGGCGGCGTATTTGGTTTCTCTGGTATCTTTGGTTCACTCGAATGTTGATGAATTTTCGTTTGAACAGCGGGTCTAGCCCACTCAGCACCGAGACGCTGGAGGGATCGTCGTATGCGCTGTGTAGAAGCGGCATTATTACTCCCGAAGTCTAGTATCACGCGCGCTTGTATCTGCTGCCCCGCTTGATCGCCATGCGCTTGTATTTCTATCGCGATAGACTCCATCTGATAGGCAAGCCCTGCGACGATGCCGAAGCGGCTTTGCAATTGGGAGGGTAAGTAATAGCTTCCTAGTGACAGGGCTACGGAGGAATTGAGCTGCCAGTGGCCAAGCAAATCTACTCCCTGTAGGCCTACTTCATAACGTTCAGTGATTGGTGGTGAGGCTGGCACAAAGGTTGAAGATGTTTTTACAAAGCCTGTATGCCCTTCAAATCTAGAAAATTCGAGGGTGGTATAGTCGATAAGAGACCTCTTACTGGCTGGAGAAAAATCATGCGCCAAATACGCATTCTTACCGAGAGGAAGATAAGCATTGGCGGTGAGATGCCATCTGTCGCCTTGCAGCTCGATGCCAGGGCTGAGCCGCCAAAACCCGTTACCAAGGGCGCTGCGTTGGTGTTCAATCACACCGTACCCGCAGAGCGTCAGATGACTATCTAAGGCATACCGAATTCCTCCCCCGGCGCCAACAGACCAATCCTGCGAGCTGTATTGACCAAGGAGTATTCCGTACGTTAAACCTTCTTCTTCTGATCCCATGAAGGGAAATAAAGCCTGTGCGTACCCGGTGTAGCCAACAGGGTATAAGACGCTGCCAGAAAGAGAGACATGAGGGGCTTTTGTTTCCTCAGAGAATAAATCTTCCGCTATTTGACTTTCCACAGGATTCATGGGTTGTGAAAAGCGCTGGTTACTCCAACCCATTGCGCAGAAGGTGAGCAGTGCCATTGGCAGATAGGGAAAGTAGCGCCTCATAAAAAACCCATTAATAGGGATTTTATTGGGACTTCAGCCCATTCTGCTTTTCATTTAGAATCAACCAGCGTTTGCGAGCCACACCGCCAGCATAACCGCTGAGTTCGCCATTCGCTCGAATAATACGATGACAAGGCACTACGATCGCAATGGGATTGGCGTGATTTGCATTGGCAATGGCTCTATAGGACTTAGGTACGCCCATTGCAATGGCTTGTTCCGTGTAACTTCTGGTCACCCCATGAGGCACTTCCATTAAGGCTTTCCACGCTCGTTTTTGAAAAGCGCTACCATGAAGTTGAATGGGGGTCTCAAAGCGTTTTAAGTGCCCGCTAAAATATAAATTCAACTCATGTCGAATCGATTCAATGGAAGAGGTTGTCTTTGAAAGAATGTTTGTGTTTAGTGATAGATGATTGATGGTTTTCGAGAGTGGTTGATCAGAAAAATACAAGCCTTGCAAATATTCTTTGCTACTCAACGCTAGCATATTCCCTAAGGGCGTTTCTAATAGAGCCGCCGCTTTTAAATCAGAGCCTGCCTGCTGAGCCCATTTCATATTCCATTCAAACGTCTTGGGATCCACTTGAGGGTGCAATTCAGACACAGAGTGACCTATAATATCCATAGCGCATACCTAAATACAAGCGGTGGCGGAGAGGGCGGGATTCGAACCCGCGGTAGGCATGAACCTACACACGCTTTCCAGGCGTGCTCCTTAAGCCACTCGGACACCTCTCCAAAGGACACTAGCTTCAACTAGGGAATAGTTTTTGGCAATTTTAGCAAATACTTGAAGAGATGCCTGTATCCAATTAAATTGCACCAAGCGTGAATTCACTCTGTTTTTGAGCCGCACACTGCCGATCATCCCTCTGCATTAAGAAGAATGCAGTACGCTTTTGATCGATAGTTTTTGAGCAAACCGCAGGGAGCTGAGGAGCCAGTTCAAGCGTTTTTGATTTAGATCCCACGAAGCAATAGAGGCAATATATCAACGAAGCGGCTAGAGCCAATCCTGCGATTGTAAATCCAACATTAATAAATACCGCAGCGCTGACAACACCACCCAAGAAAGCGATTCCTAACCCTATATAACCGGCTATCACAGCGAGAGAGAATTTTAACACAAATGGAACAGCTTGAGCTTGGTGCTCTATCTGTTTTTGAATTTCTTTCTCTCTTATTAAGGCTTCTAAGAGATCAAAGGTGAAATTGCCTCCATAATTCTTTAGAAATTTATCAATAGACTGAATATAATCGTTTAGGGCAGATTCGCTTGAATGAGAACGTAAGCATTTGTATGTGATAGCATGTACTACATCTCGTAGAAAAATATTTGACTTTTTACGATCGAAAATAAACCGTAAAATACTATCTTGATCGCTATCAAAGAAATCGTCTGTCGGCTGCAGATCTCTTGCTTGATCGAGAAGCTTTTTTAAATATTCAATATCATCTTTTAGATGCGCCCAAACTGTTGGATTGATAGCAATATTCTTACCTCCTGTCAGCTGCAGAAATCTTGCTTGCTTGCTGGCATCTATTGAATCCGGGAAGATCAATTTTTCCTCTGCTCCCTGCATAGCTTTTTCAGTTGACAACTCAGCTAGCTCATCTGCATTTACAACCGCTACATTCTCTAGCATGTCCTGTATCGTTTTTAATACTCTACTCATCTTAAATAAACCTCTGAATACTCTCTTAATGTAAAGGTCATGAGTGTAATATTGTTACCTTAGGGGAGACTTAAGGCGCTTCGAGGACTTCGCGATGTAGTTTTAGTTGATGAGCGCGTTGCTTAAATGCCGTAATGAGCTTTTCAGAAATGCGATTTAATACGGGACGTAAAGCGAGTTGAATGAATTTATTTGAAAATTCAAAACATAAGCTTAAATAAACTTCAGATCTCCCTTCATCAAGAGGCGTAAATACCCAAGTGCCCATTAAACGCCTAAAAGGGCCTTCAATTAATTGAATCGTAATACGATCAGATTCTAAGTGGTTACGCGTGGTAAAAGACTAAGAGAAACCGTGGCTAGTGATGGCTAAGCGGGCATTCACATGATGTTTTTCCTTTTGGAGAATACGACTCTCTGTGCACCAGGGTAAAAAGCTTGAATAAGATTCGATATCATTGACAAGCGCGTACATCTCGGAGGCTGAGTAATCTACTTCTACACGATGTTGCACCGTAATCATAAACAGTCTCTTAAGCTTGAGTATCCTTAGTTTAGCAGTATTTAATAAAATGAAAACCTGTGATTGAGGGATATCTCTATCTAATCCATTTCCGTTGGCAGCTCTATAGAAATATATTTGTTTCAGATAAAATGAGTGGTATGACTGGAAAAAAAATCATCACCGGGTGTTATTGCACTTAACCGTCGTGCGACTCATGACTATTTTATTGAACAACGCTTTGAAGCGGGCTTGTGTTTACAAGGATGGGAGGTAAAAAGTATACGTGCCGGACGAGCACAACTGAACGATAGCTATGTCATTTTAAAACAGCAGGAAGCGTGGTTGATCGGTAGCCATATGACCCCGCTGAGTGCGGCATCTACGCATGTTCGGGTGGAACCTAATCGCAGTCGAAAACTATTACTTACTGCGCGGGAGCTGGTCATTTTGAATGCGGCGGTACAAAGGCAAGGCTATACTTTAATAGCCCTTAAACTGTATTGGAAAAAAAATTTTGTTAAATTATCGTTTGGTCTGGCTAAGGGTAAAAAATTGCATGACAAACGTATGACGGTAAAAGAACAGGATTGGGCACGTGAAAAACAACGACTGACGCGCTTATCTCGTTAATAGGGATACCGCACTCCTCTTCCAAACCCAAAACCACTGACACAAGGGCCGACAGGCGCTTGTCTACGTTTAAATTCACTCTGTGCCACCCATTTAACGACTTGACGTACTTGGGTGGGATCCAGTTGATGGATTTGAATGATATCTGCGATGCTTTTATTCTGCTCAATATAAGCCTCTAAAATAAGATCTAATTGACAATAAGGAGGTAGAGTATCGTCATCGCGCTGCTTCGATTTTAACTCGGCAGTAGGGGGCCTTTTCAGCAATTGATCAGAAAAAATGGAGTACAATTGATTACGATATTCCGCTAACTGATATACTCTCGTTTTAAATACGTCTTTTAAGGGGGAAAAACCTCCAATTAAATCTCCGTATAGCGTGCCATATCCTATGGCTAATTCGCTTTTATTCGTGGTATTTAAAAGTAAAGCGCCTGTTTGATTTGCCATGGCCATCAATATTATGCCACGACAGCGTGCTTGTAGATTCTCTATTGTTTTTTCTTCCGGAGGGGAGTTTGGATCAAAATTCAAACTACGCAAAAACGTTTGAAAACTTGGCTCAATGGAAAGAGTGGTGTGCTTTACGCCACCTAATGCCTGGCATAGTTCTAAGGCTAAGTGAGTACTTAAATCCGAGGTATAACAAGAAGGAAGCAACAATGCATGTACATTCTCTTTTCCTAAAGCATCCACTGCCATCGCAAGTACCACACTAGAATCTATTCCTCCTGAAACGCCTAATACTATCTGATTAAACTTATTTTGTGTGGCATAATCACGTACAGCAAGTACTAGGGCCTGCCAAGTTTGCGCAATTTCTGAAGGAAGAGAGACTTCATTTGGATGCAAAGAACTGTCATCCAGCTCTATCACCATTAACTGTTCTTCCATGAAAGGTGCTTGTGTTATACCTCGTGCATCTATTAGCAATGATCCGCCATCAAATACTAAATCAGACTGTCCTCCTACTGTATTAACATACACGATGGGCAATGCAGTTTCTTGAACTCGTTGCGTTAAGATGATATTGCGCTCATGTGCCTTCTTATATTCGAAGGGAGAGGCGTTGAGCACAATAATATACTGAGCACCTGCGGCACGGGTCGCGGCAATGGATTGAGACGTCCAAATATCTTCGCAAATTAAAATACCAAAACGCTTCCCTTCCAGCGTCACCACGCGGGGGCCATGGCCTGGTGTAAAATAGCGATACTCGTCAAACACACCTAAGTGAGCCAAGCATTGTTTACGATAAGTCGTGAGTATTTTTCGATTTTGGATAACGCATGCGGCATTAAATAAAACCCCTGATGCTTCTTCAGGAAAGCCGAGTATGACAGTAATTCCAACCACTTGATCAATAATTTTCTGCATCGCGTGATGGACGGCGCTTTTAAATTCAACAGATAAGAAGCGGTCTTCGGCTAAATAACCTGAGACTGCTAACTCTGGAAATACAATAAGCTCGGCTTTTAGAACATCTCGTGCGGTTTGAATTGCCTTTATAATGGCGTTTGCATTCGCTTGGCAATCACCGGCTTTAAACTTAAGTTGTGCAGCGACTGTACGCATATTAGTGGTTGAATCTCGTGATAAAAAGACCTGAATTAAATCCTAATTTACCGAGTTTGGCTGATGGTGTATAACCCAGCAAAAGCGGTGAGAATGCCTAAGATTTGTATTGTATCTAGCTGTTATCCAAAAAACCAAAATCCAAGTAGGCTCGCAGTCAAGGGTTGTATTAATAGCAGCGCTGCTGAATGTGTCACAGGCATCCGTGCAAATGCATATAGCACTAATCCTTGTCCAAATACGTGGACGCCTCCTGCTAAACCTAGAATGATTAAATAACCCAACCATGTAGTGGGTAGAAATGATTCGTTTGACAAGCCTAAAATAATGCTAATACTTAGAAAGGCCCCTAAGGTGGAAAAAAACATCGCAGAAAAAGTTGAAATTTTTTGACGTACTTGATTGACCATTGAAATATAGATTGCGTAAAGTACAGCACCTATTAAAGCAAGTAGCATGCCATATGCAGCCCCAGGCTCCATTTGAAATTGAGGTTGTACTAATAGCAGTATGCCGATGACTGAACATCCTAGTCCACTGAGTAATTTTAAGGAAGGTGCATTTCCTAATACTAACCAATGCCATAATACTAATAATATAGGGGCTATATTGATTAATATCGTCGAAATCGCAACGCTCGTATAATCTAAGGAAAGATGCCAAACTGCAATATCAGTGCCTAATGCCCCACCTGCAACCACTATCATTAGATAATCATTAAAGCTCGGCATAACGCCCTTCCCAGGGACGCTTGATATCATCGGCCGCCAGCACCGTAGTAGACCTAATAAGGGCAATGCCAGCGCGAACCGCCAAAAACCGGTAGCAAGCGAGCCTAATTCGCTTAGTCGAACGCAAATAGGCCCTATTCCTAGAATGATGGCACCTATAATTAAACTGATCAACGATTTATCTATTTTCATACGAAACTCACGCTAACTAGCAAAAGACTTACAAGATTGTGCGATAAAATCACTTATTTTTTATTAGCGACCTCACTCATAATTGACCTGTCGCTGTTGTGCCTTTCATAAGCAAGGAAGCGCTTGTGGTGAAACGAAGGATCTCAGTTCGAGAGGATGACAGCGACTTGAACAGCTGATTTCTTCATGAGCCTTGGGACCGATTGATTAGATATTGTACGAGTAAAGAGACAGGGCGGCCTGTAGCGGCGACTTTCCCTTTTTCGCTTTTCCAAGCAGTACCGGCAATGTCTAGGTGTGCCCACTGAAAGGGTTTTTTTCTGGTGAATCGAGCCAAGAAACATGCCGCCGTGATACTTCCTGCTCCACTGCCATCTCCGGTATTAGAAATATCCGCCACATTACCGTTAATAAATTCCTGGTAATC